GTTCTGTAAGTCACTCATCATGCCTGTGCTGATGTACGGCGCGGAGGCATGGACAATGACAACATCCGATGAGGCGGCTCTTGGAGTATTCGAGAGAAAGATTTTGCGGAAGAGTTACGGGCCTTTACGCGTTGGCGACTGCGAGTACCGCAGACGATGGAACGGTGAGCTGTATGAGCTTTACAACGACATGGACATAATGCAACGAATTAAAATACAGAGGCTCTGCTGGCTTGGCTATGTCGTTCGAATGGACACCGACGCTCCAGCTCTGAAAGTATTCAACTCGGAAACCGCTGGTGGTAGCAGAGGAAGAGGGAGGCCTTCGAACAGACAATTGTCTATTTTAATATCTGGCATTTCTTCAGATAATAGCTCAAAACGCCACTGATTTCTGCATTTCTTCTAATCGAGATTTATATTGCAGGAAAAAGTCATTCAAAATAAGAGCTTTTTTCGATACGAAAAATGGAAACTCCTTCTTCAATTGATCGTTGGAATGGCATTTCCCCCATTTTGATTTTCCTATTCCTTAAATAAAATTGCGAAAATTGAGAATTTTTTGCCCATTTTTCGGTTTTTCGGAATTTACTTGAAATTTTGAGTGTTTGTAAAAGCACACAGCACTTATTTTTTGTGTGCCGGTGCAACCAACCACAAACCATCCAACCAACAAAACCCAAACCAACAAAATAGTCTGGGAGCCAGCGACATATTTTTGTGAATAATATTAATATATATGTCTCGTATGATGTCGCTATGGAGCGTAGTAACGTTCCGCAGCGCCATTGTGGGTGGGTTGGGCTACAGCAGCCTCCCACGCAAACAAAAAAATAAAAAATTTAATTATTTCAGTTTTGCTAGAAATGATATGAATGATAGAGTGTATAGTAAAGAGTAAGAAAACGATGTTCAACTGGATGTATGTGGGTGTGTTATACTTCCGCTGCCCAGGTGAATATAAAAAAAAAAAAATATAAAAAAAATTATGATTTTAGTTCGCACGAAAATTGGTCAGGTGATAGTTGGTATGCTACTTAAATCAAATCAAACATTCAGCTGGCTGTATGTGGGTGGAAAAACTGTGGCAGCTGGGGTAGTGAAGGTGTAACGCAATACGCAGGTTAATACGTCAAGTGAACGCCTTTCCGTCCGCACACAGTCAGATAAACGTTTTTTTTTTGTTTTTGTTTTATAGTGATATGTGAACTATCATATAAACAATTTTCATCTGAACTTAAAGAATGTATCTAAAGTTAGACGTATTTACTCATGCAACCACCAACTGGCATCGATATATTAGTCCCCTTTCAGACTACCTCCGTACCGTCAATTCGTTTCAAGTTTTCTTGTCTCGTTTGATCTTTTCGTTGCTTCCCATTTAAGAACCAAGGACTTGAATTCAATTAAAGTTGACGCGTGTGGAAGCAAATAGAAAACACAAAAGAGAATTCGAAAAAAATTGCTTTCAAGACTTGACGTGTCTGAAAGGGGACTTAGGTTAGCATAGTAACTTCTCCAGTAAAAGATTGAGAAGAGAAAACTAGCAGAAAAAGTTATTGAACACAAAACTTGCAAGTGAACAGTGGTTGCACTGTTTTGACATTCTGCTGTAAACATTTTACTATTTATAAATCAGTTTTAAACTCTTTGCCTTACACACAAGCACTTAAACAGTCCACCACATCATTAATATTTTGATTTCCACTAATTTTACTTTTGATTACGCTTAAACAATTCAACAAATGGCAGCTTTTGACATTCATTCTTCTTCTTTTTCTTCTAGTAATTTCTGCTAGTAAAAATTTCAAGAATTTGCAGCTCTCCCGTGTTATTACGCCCTCGATTCAGGGCTCTGCTGCAATTTTTTTTTTGGTTATTATACACTTTTCCAGTAAAAATTCGCAGGTTCCAGTACAAATTAGTACTGACTTTTTGTTACTATACAAACCTATTATTATTCTTGTCTATATTGCTCATATTGGCGAGCATTATGACTAAAATATCAGTGTCGGAACACCGAATGGTAACGTTAGTATCACTTTGTAATTTACAAATGTGGTAAATAATCTTAGTGTCTGCCTCTTCGTGACTAGGATAAGTCGGATTATTTCACCATCTCTGACTATATACGTATGGCAAGCGTCAGCGTTTACATAAATAGTTTTATTATTTATATCCGGCACCATGTAATCCTCTCCCCAATGGTCAACAAATAACCTAACAATAGTTTCTTTGAAGTTGACATTTTTCATCTCGCCTGTGAAGTCGGTCGGTCGTACTTGCTCAGACCCACTGATGCTAAAATTGGACAGTTGCATTCCTCTGATTTTGTGTTCAGTGTCTTTGATTGACGGAAACATATATCGACCAAAAGTGATGCTGAGATGATGAGATATCCGAAAGCGATTCTGATAGCGATTCGGATGACGACGCTTCAAGCTCGTCAGCAGATCAAAGCGAGGAAGAAACCTAAATTTATTTATGTATATATGTTATGTACAATATTAGGTACGTCAAATAAAAATTTTCATTGATATACTTCTTCATTTATTATAATGAACGTCACTTGTACGAAAGTTGCATGAGTAAATACGTGTAACTTTAGATACATTCTTTCAGTTCAGGTGAAAATTGGTTATATGATAGTTCACATATCACTTTAAACAAAAAAAAAAAACAACGCTCATCTGACTGTAATATGGGCGGAAAGACGTTCAGTTGGCGTATTAAAGTTACGCGTGCCCTGAGAGCGCCGCTCTTATACCTGCTTTCTGTGTTACACTTTCACTGCCTCAGCTGAACGTTTTTCCACCCACATACAGCCAGCTGAACGTTTGAGTTGATTTAAGTATCATATCCCCTATCACCTGACCAATTTTCATGCGAACTAAAATCATAAATGTTTTTTTACAGCCAGCTGAACATCGTTTTCTTACTCTTTACTATACACTCTATCATTCATATCATTTCTAGCAAAACTGAAATAATAAAATTAAATATTTTTTATTGTTTGCGTGGGAGGCTGCTGTAGCCCGCAGCGGAACGTTACTAGGCTTTATAGAAGCATTATACGATGCATTGAAATGAATATGAGCAAAACTAAAATTGGTCGCAAAAATCTGTCGCTGGCTCCCGGACTAAAAGTATCGCTATGGTCGTAGAGTGGTGCTTACATTTAGTCTACACGCACGACTAGTAAGGTTATAATGGATAGTAAGTGCCAGGGTTGTTGCGAATATTCGCATTCGCAACCGCGGAGCTTCCGCATTAATTTTGACATTCGCAATATTCAATGCGGATCTTTTGCGATTGCGAATATTGGAGGGACCGAAAATAACAGTTATTTTTTTAAGAGTTGAACTTGGCCAAATATTGAAACATATTTAAATAAAATATGTTAGTTAATTACCATAGAACAAACTTTGGGTCAGGTATATGAATTTCTTTAGTATTAAATTATAAAAAAATATAAGTAGAGGTGGTAACCTTCGTTCGTTATTTCTGTTTAAAAGCTGTTTCAGTCCTCTTTCATAAGATACCAAAACTGTTTAATTTAGATAAGTGTTTTGTGTTTGTTTATTATACGGAAGGGACTTTTATTTCAGAATAAAAAATATTTGGCCAAGCTTAAGTCGTAAAAATAACGTGTTATTTTCGGTCCCTGGAATATTGTGCAAGTGCACTGATAAAACACGGAAGAAAGGATTACAAATTAATTACAAAAACTAAAATCGAAAAACACTGATGACGTTACAGGTTCTCCAAATTTAGAAAGAGCCAAAGGAATATGAATGAAGAATTCTTTGGAAAACAAAAACGCAGTCTGTCCCATAAGGTTCGAAAACGACCGGAAAAAATTAAAATCCAATTTTTCCAAAAAATAACAACCTAATTTAACGCTTATTCTTGATCGGAAAAATAAAAAACGATTTTTTAAAATGCAAAAAATAAAAATCTTAATATTCAACGGATATTTTCGGTCCCTGCTTAAATTTCAATGTCTAATGTTGTATGAAAAAAGGATCAATCTTCGAAATAAAATTAAATTGCAACTTCATGATAAGAAAGATATTACATATTGTATGTATAAATTTTACTTATAAAACAAAGCACAAATAAATAAAAAGTTTATTCATAATTAGCAATCTTCGAAGATAATGCTGTTCCATGCGATTTTATATGTCCACATAGTCCAGCGGATTGGGCAAAACGCTTTCCACAAATCTTGCAAACAAATTTCTTTTCTGCATCATGAATGTCTTTGTGTTGACGAAGTTGTTTCCGAGTTGTAAATCCTTTATTGCAAACGCTGCATATTTTGTCCCGCACCTTCAAATGAGTGGCCTTGTGTTCCCTAAACATACTTCTATTATAAAAGGCCTTTGGACAAATTGTACACTTGTGAATTTTGCGTTCCTCATGTCGTAGCAAATGTTCTTTAAAATCGTATAGCATTTTGAAACTCTTGCCGCAAACATCGCAAACATACGGTCTTTCGCCAGTGTGGATAAGCATATGGGCTTTTAACTCAGTTGTGGTTGCAATAGGCCTGTTGCACACCTCACAGGTGTACTTGTAGTCTTGTGCATGCCTCCGCAAATGTACCGTTAAATTAGCTGACTCCTGAAATCCATGTCCACAAACAATACATTTATATGGTAGCGACCCGTCATGGGATGCTAAATGTATTTTGTACTGGGTTTGACTAGGGAGTAAATTTCCACAAACTGAGCATTCAAAAGGATTAACATCGACCTCAGCAAACGCCAAGTGCTCATAATATGGGCATGTTGGTTTATAAATACTTTTGCTTTGTTTACATTCTATTTTTTGATTCTTTTCGTATGAACATATTTTGCGTAGTCGAGAAATTTCCTTTTCCAGATCAGGTTTAGTTAAGTTTATATCAAACTTTTTATTAAATTCCTGAAGTATATTCTCCAAGGCTTCACGACGCCTGTTAGTGAATCTGTATGCTATCTCATTTTCATTCCAGAGGCATGGATGTGTTTCGTACCTTTTGGCCAAATCAATAAATTGTTCATCGCTTAACAAGATCTCTGGTCTTGAGAGCTTTTTAGTCTTCCGATGCACTCGTGCCTGTTAAAATTTAAATAGCTATCAGAAATATACGTAAATGGAAACAATAAAGATTGATTTATATGGTACAAATCCATAAGAATTTTTCATCAAAAGAATCTCAAACCACGCCACATGGGAAGAAATGGGTAATTTTACATATTTGAAGCAAACTTTCCGTTTAAAACGATAGAAGCAACTGATATTTTAGTGAAGTTTTTGAAAAGTATTATGCGATGGACCTGTGCAATAACGACACAATTCAAAAATCAAGAAATAAAAACTGTTATTACTGTTAAGTGGTCTCTAATCCTTGTCGAATCGATTTCTAATTTTTAGTACTTACTTTAGCAATCCTTACTGCTTACTTTAGTTACTTTAGTAAGAGATGGAAATGGATTAGGCAAGGATAAGAGACAACAGTCACTTAACTGTAGTAACAGTTTTTATTTTTTGAATTTGAAGTGTGTCGTTATTGCAGACGACCATTTATATATGTATATGTATATCGGGCCCTAACCGCCAAAATAACGTAAGCGAAATTTTTTTTCAAAATTTTCTTTTGATGCAGAAATGTATCTAGATGCTCTAGGAATAGTTCTGCATCTAAAAGAAAATTTTGAAAAAAATGTCGCTTACGTTATTTTGGCGGTTAGGGCTCGATATGGTTTTCTAAAATTTGTTTGGTTTGGTTTATTTTGTAAGTTTCAAGTGCATTTTTTTTTGTAAAGTTCGAATAATTAAAGGAAAATTTCAACTGGAAAACAAAACTATAAGTGAGAACCTATGCCCCAATTTAAAAAGTGACTTTTTAACATTTGTTTTCAAAAAAAAAAACTGACTTATTTGTATAACCTCAAACATTTTCTAATTTATTTCCATTTATGATTTTATGTAAGCTTTTAAAATTTTGTTAACTTTCGGAAAACAAATTGGATAAATTAAGATGTAATGAGTTGACATTATTTTACTTAAGGCGCCGTTTTCAAGAAAACCCGTTTTTTCTGGGCTATCGTGCTATTACACAAGGCGAGTTGTTTGAAGTTTGGCTGATTGGATGTTCGAAAAAAAAAAACTTTTTCGCTTGATGCTGCAGATATTTGCGAAAGTTCCATGAAAATCTTTTTGCAATTATTTATCAAAGAAAGACGAAAATTATGGAAAACAATTTGGAAAAGATGCTAAAATATTTAGATCTGAAAACATAGCGTTTCTTTCTGATGAAGTTCTTTTCGAAATCAAAAAGCCAACTGTGTCGACCAGCAGTCGGATTCTAATTTTCGCTATCGCTAAAATGCTAAAATACGAAAGTTAACATTTTTCTAAATTTTTTTTCCTCCCTTTCACTAAAAATAGCTTAGCATAAATTTTTTGGTGATAAATAGTCCATTTTAATGGTGATAAATAGTTAAAATGGAAGCGTGTGATAGCAAAAAAATACCAGCCTCAATTTGGATTACATTTCATCTCCTGTAGCGTAGCCATGGCTATGTTACAAAGACACTTGCGCCGATTCGTAAAGACCATTGATGAGCAGCCTTCGCAAAAAGGCAAATCCTTGAGAGAATTTACGGATTGAAATTTCGAAATTTTTGACTCAAAGTGAATAGAACTTTGAACATTCTTTTCACAAATTATTTTCAAAAACATTCGTATTCTTTTCAGGAAGTTACCTGCGATTTTTGGTAAATGTGTCACAAAGCAGCATTTGCATTCTGAATATAAATAATATCGATGGAGAATTAGGGAATACTGAAACCTCAAGTGAAAATGAAGTGTTTTATGAAGACTAACTGCTTTGGGAATCTCTCCTCAAGGCATGTCTGCGAGACATGTAGTAAATATTTTTCTTTTTTCAATTTAGGAATTTCGACAATGCCATAATTAAGCGCTAGACCTATTTTATTATGTAGCTCATGTAAGCTCATTTGAGTATGGTAACAAAATAACTTGTGTCAAAACCAAGCTAATTGGACAATGTTTTTGGGTACTACTTAAACACATATACTCATCATTTGAACATACAAAAGGGCAGAAAGCTCTGTTTTACGAAAGCCAAGTCATGTTTTCACAATTTATTTACTGCCTTTACACTTTTTTTATAACGCTTGCCATTTTTTTACATTAAAATAATGCATTATTTTAGCTGCTATTAATTTCGCACAGAAAAAGTAATTATTTGACCTAACGTGCAATCCACGAAATAACCTGAATAAAAAAACAAACCACTAAACTGTACTTACATAAATTTTTTGTTGTTTTTCTTCTATATTTGCAAGTATATTTATTAATATTTTAGTGCTTAGCTACGAGCTTACAATTGCTTTTTTCTTGCCTATTTTCTTCGTACATATAGCCAAAAATATATAGATCTCAATTTCAAACTTTTTAATCAGAATTAAAAGAAATTCGAAGCTGCAGTTTCATAGCTAATTCAATTTTAGTATAATAAAGTGTAAGTTTGAAATGTCTAGGCATTAAATGGCAAAACTGACAAAGTCGAGCATTCAAAAACAATCCTGTCATTACGTTAAAAAAAGTCATTTAGTTCATTTCCACATGGCATTTTTTAAATGGCATACATATTTTTTCATATCAATGCCTAGTGAAAATTCGGCATAAGTCAATTTTCATTCTGAACCGAATTTTTTGAGCGGTTTTCGGGTCGGATCAAATCCAGCTTGCAGCCATTGTTTAAATTCTTTCTTGTTTCTCGTAAGCACTGACTTTTTATTAACATGGCAATGTCCTAGGGGCACGTCAAGCGTCAAATAAGCGTCTATAAGTATGCAGTTGCGGAAGTGAGAAGCAATCCAAAAATAAGTGAAAAGCTGGAAATTCGCCTGCTGTATTTGTTTCAAGGTACGAGTAACTTATTTCCAACTACCTTTTCAATTGGTCAGTTGTTGAGACTGTCTACTTTTCTCCGACATGAAAAAAAACCTAATAATTTATGTACATAGAAACATATGTAGGTTTGTATGTATTTGATAGGAAAAAAAGTTTTTAAGTAAAGCACGAAAAAAATTTATAAAATTATTCAAAATTAGTACTCAAAGCGGATAACGATGTTCCATGCGATTTTACATGTCCACTTAGTCCTGCGGCTTGTGAGAAACGTTTCCCACAAATCTTGCATACGTATTTTCTTTCTGCATCATGAATGTGTTCGTGTTGACGAAGTTGTTTCTGAGTCGTAAATCCTTTATTGCATACATTGCATATTTTGTTTCGCACCTTCACATGAACGGCGGCCATATGGTCTTTTAGCTTACCTCTGTTATAAAAAGCCTTTGGACAAATTGAACACTTGTGAATACGGCGTTGTTCGTGTCGAAGCAAATGCTCTTTAAATTCGTTAAGCAATCGAGAACTCTTGCCGCAAATATCACAAACATACGGTTTTTCGCCAGTGTGGGTAAGCATATGGCATTTTAACTCACTTGTGGTTGCAATAGGCCTGCTGCACACCTCACAGCTGTAGTTATAGTCTTGTGCGTGCCTACGTAAATGTACCGTAAAATTATTTAACAGCAGAAAACCATGTCCACAAACAATACATTTATATGGTAGTGACCCATCATGGGATGCGACATGTTTTTTGTACTGGCTTTGACTAGGAAGTAAATTTCCACAAACCGGACATTCAAAAGGACGAACATCGATCTCAGCAAATGCCAAGTGCTCATAAAAGCGGCATGTTGGTTCATAAATACTTTTGTTTTGCTTACATTCTATTTTCTGATTCTTTTCGTAAGAGCATATTTTGCGCAGTCGAGTTATTTCCTTCTCCAAATCATGATTAGTTAAGTTTAATTCAAATTTTGCATTCATCTCGTGAAGTATATTCTCCAGTGCTTCTCGACGCCTATTAGGGAATCTATATGTTATCTCATTTTCATTCCAGAGGCATGGATGTGTCTTGTATATCTTAGCGAATTCAATAAATTGGGCATCACAAAGCAGGTTTTGTGGTTTTGAGGATATTTTATTGTTGTGGTCCACTGCTTCCTGTTAATATTTAAATAAATGGAAAAAATAATTCTTAATTTACATACATGGTATAAATCCGTATTTTTTTTTAATACTATAGGAAGCACAAACTTAGGTCCACTGGAAAGATATGATTCACTAGCACACTTTTTGCATGATATTAATTAGAGTCCGACGGATTGTTCGACTTTGGCTTCGGTTTGCCGATTAATCGGTAATATTTTCATATTCGGCTCAATGCTCGGCTTCGGGGAAAATACTACCGAAGGTTATGTCGAAGCTGAACACTTTTCTCGATTTTTTTAACATGTATTATAATTTAAAGGCTCTGTTTAAAAAAAATTTGTATTGCAACTTTTTCTTAAAATCAGCTGTCAGATGAGAACTTCAGAATTTGAAATTGTGATGAAGGAATATACATATACAAGATTTGTTAGAGGTTGTCTTTGGGCCACCGTTTTGGACCGCTGTCACCACTGCCGCCCCAAGGCCGAGATCGCTACCAAAGACCGCCCGCCAGCATTACAGAGGACCGTTATTCGTACTCGCTGTCATCCGGGGCCGCCGCTACCATCGTCGTCACCACTAGGGCCCGGACAGCCGCTCCCATCACCGGAGCTGCTACCACTACTTCCGCGCCAGGCCGAAGCTCCCTAGAGTTATTTCAAGCAGTTGCTGAAAATTATCCTTCTGCTCCACTCACCAGCGGTCACAGAACAAACTCACTTGGCGAGAACGCAAACAAATTATTGAATTTAAGTTACAACATCAGGGCGGCCACGGTGGCTGACTGGTCCGAGTGTATTTCTGCAACGATAAAGCTTCTGATAAAATCCATTTGGCCTTCGGAAGCGGCGTAAGAATGTAGGACGCTTCATTTGTGTTACAACATCAAGACGCGCACCACAAATTAGGGAAGCTCGGCCAAACAGTTAGAAAAAGTGTAAGCGCCAAAATATTATTATTATATTATTAAAGTTCATATGTATAAAAAACATATTTGCTACATAAGAATGACTTTGCATACAAACTGAACTGTGAGCACAACTATTGTAAGAAAATGTGAATTTTTTGTTAATATACAAGAGATAAACATATGTAATTTGGATTTTATGTACACTTAGGCACTTCGCACATTAACCGGCTAGTCCCAGTAGTGCAATCTTTCCGGCATACTAAAATATTAAGCTTTTATGCCGAAGCGCCCAACATTGTAAGGCGCTTGCCGTTTTGAAATCATAATTTCTTTACTTTTTTTGTGTTGGAAATAAAAACATATTTGCCATTTCAATAGGTAATATTGAAAGTTAATGATTTTGTGCAAAAACTCGTGCCAATTGTATTAAACCATAAGCGGTTATGCAATATTTTATATCGGAAATATTCCACTTCCGCGAATATTTTACTGAGAAAGAACGGCCAGAAAATGTGTATTGTGTGCACGGTTGCCGTTTTGGCCGAAATGTACCATTTTTGGTACATATTTTCCATGAAGATATTCCCAATGTAATAACAACATGTAACATAAGCATATTGAATCCAGGACTATAATATCAGAACAAAGAAGCGTTAGGCATGAGATCCTGGAAAAGCAATAAAGTATATAAAAAGTATAAGCTACTCATCATCGTGGTGGGCTACAATGAAGACAATATTGCCTCTAGATTGCAGGGAGACTTTAAACTGACTGAGAAATCAATCTCCGTAATTTCTATCACAAGAGGCGAAGCATTTAGGGGTCAACTTAAAGTCTCTTCTCATAGCTGTTAACAACTAGGCTGTCAGAGGCACTGACGTTTTGGGCATTCAATACAGTGACAAAACCGATTATTACGTACTTAGTAAGCACCGTCCAGGAGGCCAAAAGTCAAGCACCGATCTGTCTGTGTAGCCATTATAGGAGCCATGCGCACCTGCCCTACGAAAGCATTCTAATCGTCACATACCATACAAATTGACAATGAGGCTTGCTGAAGCGATTTGTGTCGCAACAATTTGGTGAGCATAAGAAGCCGGACCTTCAAGGGCTCTTGATAGTTTTAAACCAATCTGTGAGGATCCCTCGTTAAACTCAAAGACAAAATGTTACCGAAAGTATCCTTCCAGTAGCCCT